ATCGTTTAAAATAAAAGGGTGGGTGCTAACTCGAGGTCCATCCGGTACAAAAACTTGTAAGCCATTTAAAATTCTACAAATGACAATCTACCTTTCTGTTAATCAGTACGGAGTTTTCACTTGGTCATCAAGTCGCTTTGTACACATAAAACGTCTTTATTATTCATGCCTGGATGACAAGGGTCATCCTGTATTCACAGAACATTCACGTCGCACTCAATTCCCGCTACAACTCCTCCTCGTGCCGGCCTCGCGATCGCCCTCAACAAACATGTTGTTATGGAACCGCGTGCAGATACCCGTTTCTATCGTGTACTTTAATTAATACCTACAAATAAAACTCAATTAGATAAATTTGTGGCTAATTGATGGCTAATCGTGTTTCGTTTTCCTACAGATTAGTAAGTGTGAGTGAAGACGAGCGGTGCGGGTTGCCAGTAGTCTCGGTAAGATGGTGTAGGCTTTACACAGTGTTAGTAATGTACACGACCAATTACATTATTTAATAGATTGTATAAACTGTATGTCAGCTCAATCAACAGGGTCAGGTGAAAAGCACACCTGCCATCTCCTCACATCTCTTTCTAAAATACACATCCCTCCATCAGATGGCACCAGCGTCTCGCGCGCATACAGCACGCGCTGCTATTCCTAACTCTCCCTGGTACAAAGATGTTGTCACGCGGTCATCTCGGTACGAGATTAAATAGTTAAATGTGCTTAGGTTACGTGTTGGGTAAGATCCCCACGTGAAGGGACTAATTTTGTTAGCGGACACTTACATGTCAAGACAACCAAACATAGTGTGAAGTGTGCATCGAATGTATTTCTTTCTATTTTTTCTGATCTACATGCACAATTTGTTCTAGGCGTCCAACTGATGGTAAATAAGCCACACTGGTGATACACTGAATTAATTTGAATCAGTTGGAGTTTAGTTGATAAATTAACGAGAAATCGGTATAAGTTGTGTATTGGTTACATAACATTAAACAAATAATGGGTTGGTCCTTGAAATAACCAGGTGTCTATTGCCAGGATCCCCAAATTTATTTTTGAAGGTTTTATATAAAACAAGCAAAGCATGGGTAAGATGTTTGGGGATGTTCAACGCCTATATGCGACGGGCTAAGCTGTTTCCCTTTTTTCCATTCTATTGTTCCGAATTTTCCAACAAGAAGCCGAATGAATCCAAAGCTAAAATGGAACTGTGTTCAATGTTTTTACACCATATACCTTTTGGTATTGATAGCAGAATAGCAACTTTGGTATATAATCTACAAATTCATGAGTCCCAACCATTGCCCTTTAAAACGGTTTTTAACATACTTTATCCCCTTGTGGGAAAAACGCGTTCATGGGATATGAATACTTCGTGGAATATAACTCTGTTTGGAATCGATAATGTTTGATAAATTGAAGCTTGCAACGGGACTTATGTCTGTGTAAATGAAGAAAACTAATCTTTAGTTTTGCTGTAATCTCATCTTCAATTAATAGATCCTCATTTAAGTAGTGGAGACAGAATTAAGTTTAATCGAATTTCTTTCACAACGTTATCAATTAATCCGTTTTGCAATACTTGTGTTTAGAAATGACACACTGCTTTACGTTAAATGATCTCTCGTCTATTATCGTCCGGAAAAAGCTGTTGGACTCATTTTAAATTACGAAATTTAATCTTTACGAGGTTCGTAATTTAGATTGGCAAACAGACTGAAGATGAACTTTTCCTGAAAATTTTCTTTCAGAATATCTGCTAAAAAATAAAACACATTATAGACAGACCTTATAAGCCGTTTAAAAGCAAATATGTTATAATATGGGTTAATATGGTTTCAAATAAATTATGAAAACAAGCACTATTGTGTATATTACCCGAAAGAAGAGATCGACTTGTATTTTAGTGTTCCGAATGGTTCCTTGATATTAAACAACGCTGCCTGTTATTCGTTCCATTTTGTTGTTGTGGCTGTTGTTTTAATTTTATATTAAGTTGACAAAGCCGTTCGAACCAGAACATTTAGCATTCAATATACATGTACAGTTTATATGACCGATACTTTGTTCGCCATATAGAGGGATGTCACTATCATAATTCTCTGTAATGATATGACATACTTTATTTTGATGCGGCTACCCCAATTTTATTGCATTATTCCATGATAGTTTCAACCAATTTAAATATTTTGGAACTTAGCCAACCAGCGCCCAATTACAATTCAGAATAGAAAATAAAATTAGCAATAAGCTGTCCTTGAAACAAAATCCAAGCCAGGTGTCCTTATTATGATCATTTCAATCGAAATTTCCAATTGTCATAGCCCAACTTCTTTTTTCATCCTTGTGATCCCCAATTATGCAAATATATATTAAATTCTTAACATTATCTACTTTCAACAAAGTTCGGTTAGGAAGTAAGTATTCAAATTTCAAATAACTGATCTGAGTAAATTTGGTAGCATACCGCGTTTAATGTTTACTGTGTTTTCAATTTAAGTGAACCACCAATGATTTGGAACCCTGCCTAATCGCCTACTTCAATTCCTCACGGGTTTATAGAACTATTTATTAAGTTGGAAATCTTATTGATTCCACGTTTCCCGGGCTATTTGTCTACGATGGTTAATACTTAAATTTACAATTAGAAGGGCAAATTATGACAGCCCGTGTAAACAGCTCATGGACGTCACATCCACATACGGTTACCTTCAATTACTTTAATCGTTAACCATTTTATAAAACGGAACGAAACTAAATAAATTTGATCCTACCGTGGCCATTTAGAAAGTTGACAGAATGATAAAAACGCCTCGATCTGATTAAACAATTCTCCAATAGAATCAGTCGATACAAACAGCCCCGGACATTGATTCGCTCGTGCGCACGCGACAGATACAAAGCGATCGCCTCGCGGCGGATGACGCGATTAAATGGTCCTTTTTGGATTTGATTGTAGTTAAAATGTTCTAAAAACATTGGAATCAATTCCTTAATGTAGAAAAACCATCAGGCATTGTTAGACTATTATCATCTATCGTGTAACGACATACAATCTTTATTGACAAGATTCAAGTGTAGGGGTTCGTATTCAAGTATTTAGTTCTCAACTAAACGTAATTAAAACTTAATTTGCGGGGAGGCCATATTGGCCCAGGAATATGTTGAATGATAAGAGCGTTGGTCAATAGATAAAAAATAGATGGGGTTCTTCAGATCAGCTTGCTTCTATTCAACCGTATTTCGCGCAATTTGAGAGGCGGTAAAAGAGTTAATAGACGATAAAGGAGTTAAAATAAAACAAAGATTAAAGTGCGTTCACAGTGGGTGAGTTATGTCGTCAGAACTAAAGAATTATTATACTCAAGATGAAGCCATGGAATTATTTTCCCACGACTTCTCAAGAAAACATGCGCATTTGCACGTACGAGACCGGAATAAGGGCGGATATTGGGAAAGCTCTGGATGTTTACTGAAAATATGATATCGGCATTATTAAATATTAATTTGTCTTTGGTTAAAAGATTTGATTTTGTCGTGGGTATTGGAAAACGTTTGATAATATCTGTCAAGTAGTTAGGGTTGATGGGTTGTGCGGAAGTGTAAGGAACATGTAAGTGATGGTTTTATTGTCGGGATTAAAACCTACTTCACTTTTTCTTGTTGATTCTGGTAAATTTAATTCTGGTTACTTAGTACGTTATCGGTTTTCAATATCGCTTACATGGTTGTGATAGCATGTAAATTAATTTGCGAAAAAAAGTCATGTTGAAGTTCTTTATAGAATTGTTCAATGAATAGACTGCTGATTATAAGAATGATTTTTTTAACGCTTTAATTTTACGGCTCATCTATAAGATATCTGGGATGGGTCTATGACAATGGTAGGCCCTATTAAAGAAATTTTACGGCATTTAAAAATAAATATTGCCAAAACAATTTTATTACACTATAAAAAGAATCACAAAATTGAATTTATTCCTCCAAGTTTTCCCCCCGAAATCCTAGTAACAGATGACCCGACCTGTCTTGTCGGGGCTGCAGGGTTTCGGCTTTCTCTTCATAAAATCCAAACTTACATGCAGTATCCATTAATGCATAAAACGTCCGTAGTTTAATGAAGTGACTTGTACGAATCCAGTCCTGTCCCTCCTATAGAAGATGTCGGGTGTCTAGGACAAGTTAATTCATATTCAACAAGGTTATGTTTTAGGACCCTGTCTGTTAATGTTGATAATCTTGTTATTGTCTTTGTTAGTAGTTGGAGTCTTGGGTTCATAGTTTTGGTTTTATGCTAATAGAATTTACTATAAATATTTTTGGTTTGGATTTTATATTGCATCGGAATACTAGTCAATGAGACAATTTGTTTCTACGGGGAGTATTTGAGAACCGTTATCGAGAATTCATCTTCACGTTTCTTATAGGAGTCCTTTAGGTCTATATACAAACATGATTGATTACCCTTATTGGTTTTTTGGTTCATTAAACGAATAAAAGCTAATTGATATTCCATTGATAATCGATTAAGAGGATGTTAATCGATCAAGATGATTATGAAAGAGTAAATATTGCTCTAATTGATGCCGATCTACATAAAGCCAATCGATAAAGGAACGTTTTATCATATTATGTTTGGTTGATCGTAGATCGTGAGAAATTAGAAATCCATTATAGGGGTATTCAAGAAATTAAAATGCATTCGTTACCTAAGAGCTGATTATTATTTTATTGCATAATGTTTTTATTCAGTTTTTTTTATTGTTTAGAAACAATAGTACTGCATATAAAATATAAAAAAATACATTGTTTAACACGAATACGTTGTCTTAATTAACCTGGGATATTAGGTCATTGTGATGCTGGTTGTTTGCAGTGTAAGGCTCCTCCAATTTTTATTTTCTTCTTGTATTTCTCCTTTTAGTTTTCTCTAACCCATCTTTAACTCTTACACCAAATATTCCAACACTATAATTCACTTTTTATTTTATCATTTTCAGAAAAAAGCCAAAACTCAGCTGTAGAGAGACTTGGTTCCGGTCCTGAAATATCAGAAACCAACCGATCGCCATCTGAAAGTCCACTTCCAGTGGTTGCTTCATCTCCATGGGCAAGCGATGCGATGATGCAATCACGATGCCGAGACATAAGTTGGTTTCTTTCTCGACCCAGAATAAATCTAGAACACAAATTACAAGAAAATGCAAATAAATTAGAAAACTCTTTAGAAACCACTAGTCAGAATTGTGATGAAAACGCTGACCATTCTGATCAAGATTTTAATGAAAATGGGGAGCAAGTGGGTGAAACATCAGAGCAAAACCAGCGTCATATCTTATCTCAAGAATCAATGGATGACACATGCAGTGAAAGTGTCCATGACGCTTGCTCAGAATCCGGACAAGACTGTGAAGACCAACATGTCGATTACACTGGACATCCTACAGAAGAGAAAACAGGGAGTGAAACTGGCGATTTTCTTGATGGCGATAGAGAAATGGAAGATTATGGGAAGAGAAAACAGCGACGTTACCGAACTACTTTTACCAGTTATCAACTAGAAGAATTAGAACGAGCTTTTCAAAAAACCCATTATCCAGACGTTTTTACGAGGTAAGTTTAATAGACATTGGTCACAAAAATATATTTCCGATTTTCCTACTTTTAATTTCTTAACAACTTTTGTACCGTATTGAAATTTTATTTGGGTTTTACTTCCACAAGCATTGTAGCTATGTTGTGCAGATTGCCTTTGCTCCCGAGATTATTCTGTGACAGATCTTGCCTTCAGTCGTTCTGATTGCCCTTAGACAGCAGTGTGCCACGTGTATGTTATCGTCTACCATGTAGCTTTAGATTATGAGATCCAAGTCTCTGGCTGCTTAAGACCACCGCTTTTCCGTGGCTTGTATGAGTATGGCTACGAATAGTTAATGTCCTTAGATCTTATGACACATTCGATCTATAAAATGATCGCTTTTTAGATGCTGAAATTTCAGAATCAAATTTAATCATTATTTACATTCAGTCTACATTTTATACATAGACATTGGATGTTTTAAGACCAGCTTTGCTTTAGCAACGGAATAACTTACATTAGCTTAATGGATTAACCGGATGTTTCAGAACATTTAACATGGGCAACAGTTTTATCGGAAAACATTAGGGAAGGCAAAAAGTTCAAATATTTAGGTAATGGGGTTAATATCAACGAAACGAAACAAAACTTTCTTGAAGTGAAGTTGATTTAGTAAATGCAAAGTTTTATCGGAAAATAAAGCAAGGTGTAAAAAAGGTGTATTTTTTGTTTGAAAGGAAAGTGGCTGTGGGGGATTTATTTATCCATCTTAATTAGATCAGTTGTTATAACGACAGGGTAATTTCTGGCCAGGTTAAGTAATCGAGGCTAATTGAAGAAGGCGAGGAGTGGGACGGCGGCGTTTAAATATCTGATTCGTTTAACCCGAAACGAATACAAACTCAAACGCCGGTTCGACGGTAACAACAAACAATAGAAGGGGAAAATATCGATACGTTTACTTAAATGATCGATAACGCGGGAAAGAGTGGCATGATAGTTGGCGGAATCTACCTTGCCGTTGTTTGTGTTGAAAGCTAGGAAATGATTTGAGGTGGCTTGTTACATACCTTAGACACTAATAAACGACAAGAAGACAAACAGGACACCAGCCAAGTTGGGATCTATGCAAACTTTAACTCCAGTAAAAGCTAACTTGCGTGCGTGTGGAATTTGGAATGGACTGGGGAGATCAACTCATTGTTTTAAGATTAAAGGGGTTTTATTTATCTAACTTTACTCCCTTGTCAACAGTTCCCCAATAATCATAGCGAACAAATTTACTCTATCAACATAACAGTTAAATTACCGGTATTTCTACAAAATTAAATATTATTTTTGTATTTTAGATTTAGATCAACGGGGCAATGTTAAGCGCTACAACGGAAACATTCGTGTATTTTTTCCATTATTTTTCCCTCGATAAATTATAGACTATTAGGGATCTTTTTTTTTAATTTGAAAATTTGTTACATAGCTTTGAAACTTCGATTGAACCTGCTGTGGTATCTGTTTCTTTATTTGATGGTATGATTAAGTAAAAATACAATAGCCACACATATTTCTTTTAAAAGTTCTTTCTGAAAATCAAGTGAATCGACGAAATAAATTTATTAGTAACATCTAGCAAATAATTAAACAAATTAAATCTGATTTTCTGAGTCAGTGTATTCTGATTGATTATTCTTGATATGGAAAAGGGAGAAGGAAATGATTCAAAATCTCAACACGGTTTACAACTTCCGATAAAACACACGAAAGCCCACGGCTACAAACATTTATGAAAAATATAATAAACTCGGATCCGAATTTTCAGCTTTTTGGCTATTGGAGTGTTTATTGGGTATGTGAAGATACGGGATATAATCTATGTTACATCCTTATTGCCGGAACAACCATCCAGTAAATCTCATTACCCAACAATTCATAACAAAGCATGAACCAATTATTTATCCTTGCGCGACCACAAGTAGTTCCTGTACAGCAGACGTCTAAATGATTTGATAGAGTAATTAGCGTCAATATCGAGTTATTCAGCTTTTAATAGCAAACTGTGAGAAAATACTAAACGATTTAATACAGATATTCGGCACGCACTTGTCTACCGACCGCCATTATCTCTTTTCGGACCCAGAAGTATTCTAAGGGTGTTTTATATTGTTTTATTAAAATGGCGGGAAAATGACATCTGCTAGCTGAGGTTGAAATCCACTAAAATCCCTTGTCTGACGTTCGATCTTTTGACGCGTGATTCTAATAGCTTAATGAGCTCGATTCAATTACAACCCGGCTTGATATCAGACCAAAGGCTGCTCGTTCGGGCCGAATTTCAAAGAACTGACTGGCAAAAGCATGATTTATCAAGTTGTAATGGCTGACAATAAATTATTGATAACAATCCAATGGTGAAACCGTCGAGTACTGAGGTCGATTCTGTCAATCATTGGCTCATAAAATAGTTGAAACTAATTGTTTGTAAATAAGATATCAATTATTAAGTATTAAATACCATAATGATATATATATAACAACAGGGGTCGTGTCTTCATTAACTAGAGACAAATATATCGATGATTACAGGATTATAGGAATAGCGTGTTATCACGATTCTTTATTCATCTCTAAAATAATACGTGTTTCAATGCCGTCCACATATCTTCATGATACAATCACAACTTTTAATTTCACGTGTTTGCCATTGATTGGTGTTGAGAATTTTTCAGATGTTAAAATACTTTTTAAATTAAAGAAATAAACGTGCTTTTATATGCATAGCTTTATTTTATATTATTTTTGACATAACCAGCATTTACACATAAGAACTCGTGACTGTTTATTCAAACCTTCTATTTTCGGGTTTAATTACATTTTGGCCAATAATCCCACCATTGACTTTTCCAGTAAAAGACAACGAAATAGAATAAAAATAAATATGTTATTTGCTGTTTTAATTTCATTCTTTTTTTTTACTTCTTTTCTAAATACGCTATTTGTCATTTATTTCTTTCTTATATAATCATGCTATTAAAGTGCGTCTTTTGTAGAAATAAAACAAAGCCATCAGATATGAAATGTTGCTAAGCTTTAAATGTGATATATTGGCTCATCGGTATTATTTATGTATTTTTAGGGAAGAATTAGCCATGAGAATAGATTTAACAGAAGCAAGAGTTCAGGTTGGTATCTTATAATATTTATTTCTTTTATTTGTTTTACAGTTTTATATTAGTAATGACAACAAAAAAAAAAAAAATAAATAAAAAATAAAAATTCATTGCGTTTTAAATATTTAAAGTTTTGTTAGGATTTATATATTATTTTGATATCGAAATTTGTTTGACCTGTTGATCTTCAATTGATTTATTTTTCTTCGAAAGTGATACTGATAGTTAAACATAAAGTCTCTTAAAATGTTTAACAAAAGGGCAGCAGAGTCTTTTTTCTACAAAAAATGTGTACATGTACATGGATTATGGAGGTCACATTCGTTTTAATAATGTCATGAAAGTTTGTTTTGCCATGCATGCATATGGTCGATCGGTGCTGTTCTACACTCTTTAAACTTGAGAGAATGATTTTGGCCGTATGTACCGTGTAATTGTATTAACGTGTGTATATATATTTTGTTAATCGTGTAGTTTACGTTGTTCACCTGTGGATTGCACCTGATAACAGGTGAGGGTGGGCCGAACACTAATTGGACAGATAACTCACTAAATCCCCGTCAATTATGTCCCCACGTTCTGGACATTCCTGTCAATAGACCACATCTATCCAGACATACAAATCCTACAGACACTCATTGAAATAAGGCACCTGTTCGCTCGCGACTTGGCGGCAAAGATCAAAGGGAGAGTAAGCAGGTAGAAGCGAAAAACAGCCACGTGTATTCATGTTGACTGTGGATTTAGTGAGGTTACACCTTTAACATAAGTATAGATACATATTAGAAATAACTACACACAGTTCACAGTACGACAAATTCAATTTAAACAAATTTTAACAGGTGAACAGGTAAAGTGACGAATACTGACATTATAACGTAACATTTTGATAGAAATATAAGCTGTACATGCAGCTGGAAGACTAGTCCGTCAATATATAAAATGGAAATGCTAAACAGGATTGATGTTTTTACGTCTTCATTTAGTTAGTGAGTCTTAACAAATAACTAGAATAACTTATCTAAATTCAATAAAACATTACAATTTGCTGAATATAGATAATACAGAAAGAAATCATTTTACGTCACAGATTTATTTTTTTTAAAAGAATAGATACATTCGTCTATCACGAATTTCATTTCTGTGACCTGGCCTAAAATAGATATATCTTAAATTTAAAAATCTTATTTTTCAGTTAAAAATACGTATATTATTTTATTATAATAAAATATCGCCATTTTTATGATTGTTGCATTTGGAAACTTTATATTAGCTGGAATAAAGAGGATGCTATTTTTTAGCAGATTACCTCTAGACACAAAGGGTGACCTTACGCCGAAAACTATATAGTTAACCTTGGATTAAAAAAAAAAATCAAGACCTAAACACGTTAAAAGAAAATAAAGAAACAGAGATTTGACTCTTGCAAGTGATTTTTAAAACCTTTGTGTTGAGCTTGCGAGGTCTCGATTTACAATAGAGAACGTAGAAGTAGAACCAGTTCGTGTTTTCCGTCGACTCTGTTATAAGTTATGTTTTTCAGTCAGTGGGTTTATTATCACGTAAAGTTGTTTGCTTTTAAACTGTATTTTTATTTCGGATATCGGAATGGGGTTCGGGAACAGACTTAACCTATGTAAAAAAAACTCTCCCTAATATAATTGACATTAGAATTTGATTTTTACCTATTTCAATTAGATATACATGCAATCTGATTAAAATACAGATCTATATTTCGTTTCGTTTTTTCATACTTTCGATGGCCTACACTGCATGAAGAACTGACAAGTTGTGTTCGAAGGTCGTGTCACGGGTCGTACGAGCGGCTTTTAACCCTATGACGTCAGACATTGATTAATGTCGCCGTAACAGACCGTCGCCGTAACAGACCGTTTCATTGGCTTATCCCCCACTTCAACCAAAACGCCGGTAATCTAACAACTCTTCTAGATCCCAGTGTACTAAAGACGGAATTTTGAACTCTAAAAAAAAAAAACGAAACGAAATAGGAGCTGTGTTTTAATCAGATTGATATACATGTAGACATTTCACAGAGTACAAATTATTTTTACTCCGGGGACATTTTATACATTTTATGAGCAATAAAGACAAACTAGAAGTTTTCATTTATATAATATTAGACTATTAGTATTACCCAGTATTACACAGGCATTAGGGAACCACGGTGGCTAGGTGGGTAAGGCGCTGGCTCGCTAGCCTGGAGGTCGGGTGTTCGATCCCTGCATTGGCCGAGAAAGTGCATCCCGATTTTCCGACGTGGTTTTCCCTTGTCAGTGATGCAGGACGGAGGGCCTGACAAAGACAGCTGTCTAGTCCTTCGGATGAGACGAAACACCGAGGTCCCGTGTAAACATTGGAATGCACGTAAAAGATCCCTTGGCAGTTGGAATTCGATATAAGAGTAGGCGATAGTGCCACTGCCCGGGCAAAATTTCCCTCATAGCACACTGTATGGCGTATGCCCGTCTTCATTAGCCCATTATAGGAGCAGAACAGTAGGACGTAAAACCCCATTTCATTTCATTTCATTTCATTTACACAGGCATTATGCAAGAGCCAAATCTGCCTATTGCAAGTCTTTCTTTCGGCCTGCAATGTTATATAAATTATTAATTAGACATTAATTAACTAACTAAGACCACAATTAACTCTCGATGCCATCGGATGACTGCAATATAAGTAGATTTAAATACGTTTTGTAGTCGATGCAGTTACCGTAAAAATGGATAATCGAGACTTTATTTATTATCAAAACAGCGGTAGTAATGACAATCGAGGCTGGGCTATAACTGTATCGCCGATATCTAGACTCAGAGTGGAGTAATTTGACTGAAAATTTCAGCATATTCTCTTTTCATTATCTATTTTTTTTTTTTTTTTTTTTTAAACTATTATAGCGAGAACTGCCAGCTCTTTATCTAATATTCCCCAATGTCGCTTTAAGTGGTACAGCTTCTATTCAATTTATTCTCAGTATAAAGACTATAATAAATGAATTTTTAACCCGTACTAGCACCACAGGGGTCTAATGGCCACTCGCGTTCTCGTCTCTCTACTCTTCTCTGTTTGCGAACAGTTCGTTTGTGACTAGATTCATCCGTTCATGTCCGCAACTTGACGAAGCTCGCTGGAAACCATGGGGTTGCTGTAGACGGAGTTGGAACTTGTTCGTAAAATTATGAAAACAGAAATAGTTTCAATGCCTATAATTGACTATTTGTAGTATTCAATAACATCACTATGTGTCATGTTTGTGCACCCTATAAATGCCCGACCCCTTATAATGTTTTTTTTTTAATAAAAAAAATAGACTCTTCAACCATTAAAGCGACAGATAAAAGCCAGTAATAACCATAAATAACTTTTAAACGTATAATTTGAAAGCTGGAACAGAACTACATAATGGTAGTCGTGTTTGGAGCGAAGTCGTGGACCATTATAGCCCCGAGTCTCTTTTATTTAAATTTATTCAAAGATATTTGAATTATATGGAGTGTGTATTATGGAGCGTGTTTGTGTCCAGTCAGAATCAATGTCATTAAAAATAAACAATTACCATTCTACATGACAATTAGTCTAACCTGCAACCTTAGTTCAATAGAAAATGATGTAGTTGTTTGTTCGTTTGTTTGATCGTTCACCTGTCGCGTTTAGTCAGAGTACCTGTTGGGGATTTTCTCACAATAATCCAGGATTATCTCACGAAAACTTCACCAGACATCAAACTGTTAAAGCGACTTGAGTTGAGACAGTAACCGATGACGGTCAACATACATTCATGGACACTGGTCAAATATCAACACATCAACCAATGGCCTCTTGACTTTCATTTTGACATGTTCAACTTTGTTTAGATGTAAACAAAAGTTAGCTTTTTGAAGTTTTTTGATATAGACGCGATTGATTGTATTTGTTTCTTTAAAGATAAACACGGCAGTGTGGCAAGGTTTTAGGTCCAGACAGTCTATTTACAGATTGTCCCGAAAAGCACCCATACAAATGATACCGAAACTAGATTAATTTTAAACCGCGGCATACGTTTGATTTACATTTGAGGAAGAAAAGGTTGTAAGACAATAAAGCACAGCTAATTGTTATTGATGGAGCCTGCAGCAGAGAAATAATGAACAATATAACATTAAACTAGTGCAATATTTAAAATCAAATAGTGCCCAGTGTACTATGTCTTTCATGGAAATATGATTATGTAGACACCCATTTACGCTCACTATACCTCCACGAGCAAGTCCTTGAGAATTCCATTCAACCATGCAATATGACATGATATCAAATAGCACCACTTTAGACTCTGTCAAAATTTTCCATTTATCAATTCACTGAAAATATATCGGGGGGATATGACTTCTTTTTATTGGGGTGTATTTGTCGTCTGCTGGTGTTAGTGCTGTCTCGTGACATTTAAGTAGAAAGTATTTACTTGGTCTAATATTTTTCATTTGATCACGATTTATTAATTATTTGTCTGTTTTGACACCATTATATATTCCCTTTAAACGTCAATATGGCTATTGTGAGGTAAATTGAAATAAATTATGGGGGCTTGCCGAAAGAAAATGGAGAGCCTGCCAAAGCTTGTTGAAGGACAATGGCTAATTGATCGAGCACAAAAGAGCTAATATTTTCCCGACTTTTTAACTGTTGCCTGCCGTGTTTGTGCTGTTTAAGTTAGTTTTACCTTTAGTGTTATCCCATATAATTAACCAGGCCAATTAACGCCATGACCTTACTAAATTCCGGACTATTTACCGGTGCGGAATCTATTCTCTTCTGATTACTCGGTACATAGTCTCGCCCCGAACCTAAGATATTAATACCTTACTTACATGTATAGACGACCGCCTATGTCCCCAAAAATGCCTCTACTTGGTGAGAAATTTAAAGAAATTAATATGTTCCAAGTTTTTCAAAGAACCCTTAAAGGACCACCGTCTTTGCTAGTTCGGTTCGTGCAGAAAAGTACAACGTTAAACTCGATTTGATTCATCCATTCTTGAAGGACCACATTCAGCTCATTTCACTCACAAAAACCAGATATTCGATCATTGTCTCTAATATTATACTACACGAGATTATAAATTAAAATCAGACTTGTAGTCTCCCCCTTTTTTTTTTATCAATTCCCAGAAGTGATTCGATGGATATTTCGTCACTGAACAATATTGTGAGCTGATGATAAATAATACACTTAAAACAGATTATATCTTTCATCTATGCTTCAATAGACCAATTTTCAGGCGTTGAATGACAGAAATTGATACGTTCAAAAAATTGACTTTTACTGTGAATATCCAAACATGGATCTACGATTTTGTTGAGGCTGGTGATGAAAACCTTTCAAAATTAATTCACTCATGTGTACCTTTTTTACGCGCCGTACATGCCGTTAAATACTTTAGTTGGTGTGGCTTATTTTTTGGGATATGGACGGTAATGAATAGCAAACTTGCCTACATTGTTGTTCGCCTTGGTTCAACACTAAAATTTGTTTAAGAAATCTTCTCGACTCTCGCCTCTTTTCAAGTGTCATTTTAGATGTGTAATTAAAAAGTCAACAATTCATGTGAGGTCTTTCAGCTACGAGACGTTTTTCTCTGTATTATATACACCACAGTAGATCATTTTGTTACGGTGTAGGAACATCATTGACACCCATGTTATACAAATCGCATCTTTCTCACCATTTCTGTATACTACTTCTCATGAAAATAGTTACTTTGTAAATTTATCCGACCCTTTCATTATTCTGCTGCTGTCATTATTATTCGAAAGCGTTTGGGGTTACCACTGATATTCTGAAATACATAACCGCCTATCGGTAATAAGAAGTGGTTCAAATGCATCAAAACTTTCATAAAATCTACATTTCTATTTTCAGGTATGGTTTCAGAATCGTAGAGCAAAATGGCGAAAGAAGGAGAAAGTTGGCACGCAAGGACATCCTTACAGCCCTTACTCAGGGACACTTAATCTAGCGGCACGTGGTGTTCTGGGTGCATCTCATCAAGCGTCACAGACCTACTCTGATCTCCTTCTCAAAACCTATGAAAGTCAGTTATTGAGTAGATACAGTCTAGCATCGCCTTTATCATCATTTTCACCAGCTCTGTATGCTCCCATGTCATTGGGTTTATCAGCAGCGACATCCGGTTTGGGTATCCGTGGATTATCCCCCCTTACTATGCCCATGCCGCCTCCCGGAACTTTTCAACATCTCTTAGCCAGCATGACCTCTTCTGCTGCTAAAGCGCGGGAAAGCTACGACCTCAGCCCGCCATTACCCGGTATACCGTCACCACCTACCGGTATCGTAGAAACGGAAAGACGATCATCCAGTATTGCCAACTTACGACTTAAAGCTCGAGAACATGAAATGAGATTAGGAATGAACGGTAATATTGTTTATTAGTGTTTTAAAAGGGAATGTGTAACGGCAGCTCGAATTTGACAATAGACATTCAAATGGAATCCGTGTACAATAATATCCCAACTACAATGCAGTATCCAGAGTTCATTGTGGGAAGCTAGACTGTTCGTTGTGAAATAATTCTTTAAGAAATTGGATGTGAAAACTTTGTACGATAGGTACAATAGAAGAAGCCAGTTCCTTTATTCCTAGAGTTATTCCTAGGGGGTTATTATTGACTAACTCACTTCTCTAATCTCATGTGTGGATAAATGACTTTATTATGATCTGGTGACATTTAATTGACTCTTGTCTATAAAAAATCACATAGTTGGTGACATGAAGAGTCTAAATAAAGTAGTTATGAACTATGTATATAATAGGTATATAAGTGTGTAAAATTATGCGACGAAAAACATTTTGTTTTAAATTCAACACCTTTAATTAAATCGGCCGTTTTCCTGTATTTGTTTTACAGGAATATAGAACGGTATATAAAGTTATATATTCCTGAATTTTTTAAATAATCATGTTCAGCAGTTGTACACGTGTGATAGAATTGGGTTAAACAGATTCCAAATATAATTTTAAAGTAAAGATCTTTGCTATGACCGACCCGTAACATCTGCACGCAAGTTCCCTTAGTGACGCAAATACATGAGATCAGTTATTGTTACTGAATCCAGTAGAGAGAGGTAATAGGTACGCAGTTATGACAAGATCAGAAAAATAACTAGAATACATAGTGAAAGAGAGAGAGAGAGAGAGAGAGAGAGAGAGAGAGAGAGAAATGGGGTTTAACATCCACTCGACACAAATTAGATAATTTCGGGACTAACATAATTATGGTTCAATTGTATTTCAATAATTCACGAGGTTGGGCATGCAACCCTACTCCTTGTCACGTACAAGCGGGGAATCGAAACCACGCCACTTGACTCACTGATGTCACTGCACGCGTTAACCATTCGAGGCCACCCAACCCCCTAGAATACATAGGGAGAAAACATTCAGCACATCAGCTAATTTTGATGAAATTTGTGCTGCAATCAATGAAAACGATAGTTCATGCTGTTAGACCACGACAATTTGATTTTCTGTTCTTCAGAAAACATGTAAGTAAAATAAGTCTGATTTCTTCGGGAAAAAGACTTATTTAAAATCAAAAAAAAAAAAAGTTTGTGTTGTTTAAAAGCTTTTAGTTCCAAATTTGTAAGTTTTTAAATTTTAAACAAAACAAATTTCACACGTGATTCAAGTGGCTATTTCTTTATTTATCAGGACAACGAAGAACAGAAAATGGTTCCAAATTTCAAATTTTTAGGCTTTGAAATTAAAAATAACCCCATATTTTACATGATTCAAGTGGCTATCATTATTAAGACACCGAAGAACAGAAAATCAAATTTGTGTGGCCTTATCATGAACTAATGTATTATATTAACAAAAGACCTTGTCCCCACCACGTTGATTAAAAATCCAATTCGTGTGAATTCATATTAATGTAACGCCTTTATCTCCGGATAGAAATATCATCAGTAATTTATATCACATTCATGGCAGTACAAATTTCACCAAATGAGTTGAGATTACTGAACACGTATTAGGACTAAAATGGTCTTCTATCCAGTCACATTCGCCTGACATTGAGGTCACATTGTCTATTTTCTATAAGAGGGCTGAAAGTCAACTGTGTACCTGTTACATCACTCTACTGCAATCAGTGACAATAACCGTTTCTGTTCTCCTGTGTCCAGGCGATAGCGATCAGGCATAGTAAAGATATGTACTTTAAATTAGATCTAGAATCTATATAACCTGTTCTATCACAGACGTAAATTTGTTGGATATCAACATTGTTCTTTAAGGGTAAAAGTGCTAGCTGTTATTGTTACCCAGTATAGACGTTCTAGTATTGGAACATTAGTCTTATCCTTGTATTGAATTAGCCCTGCCCTAGTACTGAATTTAACATACCCCATCCCTCCCCAGACAACGTTCCAACCCCTTGCATGCCTATTTCAGACAAGACAATCGTATTAACCTTGGGAGTTAAATTTTATGAATTTGTTTAGTAAGAAATCGACAACCTTCGTTCGTTTATGAACAGTTGTAAACTATATAATTTTTCATAAACTAAAGTGGATATGTTTCTATGTATTTGTTTGAATTTCAGTAATGTACGGAAGTGCTATATGATCGATGAACCGTCGTTAATTGATGACGAAGTGTAATTTATTTTAAAATATTGAATTGTACAGATATATATCTACATGTGTGTGATTTTGATTTTTTATTATTATTTCTATGTTTTTGTGCCAAGAATAAAACATCTAAAAGTTTTTGAGTTTTCATTTTTCTTTTTGCTATTTTGTTGCTGGGCGAAATTAATTTGGTAAATATAACAAATACCGTTTTGTTTACTGACATTTGTACTGCCCAGAAATCCATTTTTCGGCTCCCATTACAAAATTGAGAATCTTTATATTTCTCCTCACCAAAACAAACTTCTATTAAATACCAAATCCGCTTGTCTGATGTCAACCACAAGATGTTATGTAGGGATTAGATCTTCTATTGCCAAACCAAAACTTCCTTTGTAAGCTCTTTCTTATGCCCGTTAACAAAATTCAATTAAATTTTAAACATTACTCTGAATAGGGAGATTAAAGGGCGATTTGCAATAGTTTTAAGATTCCATCTTTTAATCTGCCTTGTAAATGTGAGCGTATTAAGAAACGACTATTACAAAAACCAAATCAGATTGGATTTTTCTTAATCAAGATTATGAATATTTTAATATGGTGATGTTGAAGTCGAGATAACGTGATCACAGCCAGAACTTACTTTTAACAGTGTATAGTTTGACTTGAAGAACTCCAAGAATTACGAATGAAAATGCAGTCAGACACGGTTTATAGCAGAAAGTACTGAGTGAAGTCATCTCGTGCAAGAAAGGAAGACAATAAATTCCATCTAATAAAGTTAATCACTGCTTTACTTGTTATTTAATATTTGAGAAAAAGAGAGAGTGAAAGAACTTTTTTTTATTTTAAGCAAACTATTTTGTCGAAATCTCATTTAATTAAAAAGACTTAGCTGCAAGTAAAGATCACCCCAGGCATAATTCATTTCTATAAAGCGATAATTGCATATTTTCTAAGAAAGAGAGAATGAAAACACTTTTGTGTTTTGGATTTTAAGTAAACTATTTTGTCGAAGTCTCATTTTAAAAAAAAAGGTCTTAGCTATAAGTAAAGATCACCCCGAGCATAATTCATTTCTGTAAAGCGATAATTGCATATTTTCTAAGAAAGTCAAAACATAATTATTTCTATATCTTTTACTTAATAGGTTGTCAAATAACTACTATACAATCATAGGAATCTTTTTAAAAACTTAAAATAACATTGACATAAAAATTTGAAATAATTTCTACTCGCCGACGGTATTTGGAAATTGTATCATTTCTTTTCACTGGTAAACTAAGTCTACAAAATGGAAGAGGGGTTGTCTAGATTGTCAAGGTCTATGGTTAAACAGCTATGGATAATGATACCTGATTAAGCGAGACTTTTCAAACCTGCACACGTGATAATAACGCCGTAAAATCCAATGTTGGATTTAAAAATTAAAATGATATACATGTATTTACCAATTTCTCAACTGACACAAATGAATTATAGGATTTAGGATTATTCTTTAACACGGTAGGACTGTGTGTATAGATAGATGCCATGTATTTTAAGGCTTTATTTTAATATAATATTATTTTAAACATAGAACTTTAAAACATGCAATTATCGCTTAAGCCAACGTGCCATTCTAATTTAATGTTTTCTCTAATATTTGTACTATTTCTACGAGGAACAGTTCTATTGTTCCGATATAACCTTTCTTAATGGACTACGGATATGGCTCTTCAGATATTTTTTTCTTAAAGCGAAGTAAAATATTGCCACAGGATAAAGACTGTTTAATAGAATATTTTCATTGTCTGCACAGAGAGGAATCACTAGTTTAATTAAATCTTTGTAATTAGTAATTAATTGCTTAATTGAAAAGCTCTGTTGCGACCTTTGTTTCTCTGAATAGTAATCTAATAAAAGAAATTCCTTAATATTGACGACCCATTGTCTTATTATCTGTCTGAAGTGGTTCACTATGGTGTGAAAGTACGAAACTATTTACCTCGTATCCTGTTTCTGGTAAAACTAGAATTCAGAATTCATTAAAAAAAAATTGAATGTTTTGTTATTTGACAGCTTGAACTTTCTTATAGAAAAAACTTAGACACTTTGCTGTGAATTAGCGTTGTTTGCTTAGACTGTGCTTACATTAGTTCGTTTTTCTATATCTTACTTAATCACATGTCGGATAGAGGGCTGTACCTTTTGTGCGGTGGTAGACTTTACAGTCCAGATTTCTGCGACATTATGGTGTTGGTTGATTTTGTATTACTAACAGAAGGTCGGACTCGTTTGCTATTGCAGGGCGTTGCTACGGACAAAAGTCTTCCAACAGCCTCGCATTCAATTATTATGGAAAATTCCACGGAAGGTCTTGTCCCCCAGCCCAGTATAGCAAGTGTGAAAAATGTAAACGCCGTCAGTTCAGGTGACAGAACAGCAAGTGAATTGTAAATAGCAGACAATCAAAAATGCTTACTGGCGTCATTTTTGGGCATGCTTAAACCAAAAATCTATTGCAAACCAAAGGGGGACTGGCAAGGAAACGTTGGAGCTTGGTCTAGAATATATAGACTGAAATTGATGAACGGTAATGACCGAGAGGGGGGGGGGGCTGATGTAGAACATAAAAAAAATATGACCATGTTTTCGGTTCAGTTGACTGGAATAGGTCACTTGAACCAAACAAACTGTAATAGTGTTGACGTTAAATATTTCAGAACGCTGGCACTATATGCTTACTTTCATATCGATTTCCAATAGAGGAACGACCTTCAAATGGTACGGAAAATTACTCACTGCTCAGATACTCTTGACGTATTGTCCAGGGAATTTCACACCTATTGCCCTTAAAACATCTCTTATATGTGCACAGATGTGTCACTACAGTACCAACATACCTTTAATATGGGCTCAGAATCCCCAAATCCTTACTGATAAGGATGTAACATCATGGATGATGTCATAAATGTGAGTTAATATGCACCAAAATAAATTTTAATTGTTTGTGGTGGTAAAAACATATTTCAGAGAACAAAGAGTTTTGCGTACAGCGGTAAATAAATTTTTTTCCACCGAGGCCTTCTCAAAATTTGAACAGGAAAGAAAGTTGACTTAAATCATGGACCAAATAAAGAAATTGATTGGAAAGGTAACATTTGGCAGGTGTTCCGTGGTGTTGTTAGCACGGAATACGCTCTCCCCACACTTCCCTCATAGAAATAAATATTATCTTAAATTATGTCCTAACTTTGATACAACAAGTTGGATAAAGACAAAGGCTTTAAGCCAGAATCAATATTCTTTCGCGAGTTACAAATTATAAGGTAGAGTTAAAATTCCAAAGTAGCTCACTACCTGGGAGGAGAGTCACAAAATATTTCAAACTAAATGCCGAACATTTAAATCGACATCTAGTGAGCAGGCCGACATACCCATTTTACTTATAACCCCCATTCTTTAAAAGCAAACATTTTTGTTTTGTTGGTAAAACGAAGCTGTGATGTGAGCCAAGATTATTTTTCCCGGTAATTATTGGTACCGTAAACGTTAGGTGCTTGTAGTACCAAAACTATGAGAGAAAACTGATCAATTAGTCTCCTGCTTTTATCATGTTGGGGGGTTGGGTGGCCGAATGGTTAGCACGTGCGTGCTGTATCATACGGCCTGTCATTGAGTCAACTGGCGTGGTTTCGAATCCCCGGTTGTACGTGACAAGGAGTAGGGTCGCCTGTCCAACCTCGTGGGTTTTCTACGGGTTCTCCGGTTTCCTCCCACTGCTAAAGACCTCTACGCGCAATCGAATTATTGAAATAAAATTAAATCGAGTGGACGTTAAACCCCATTTCTCTCTATCTCTCTCTATCATGTTGGCACACAGAGGCCCTGAACTAACGTTTTATTCAACATCTTTTTGCTAAGCGTTATGATATCCACATTTAAAAAGACGTTGGGCGAGTTCAAAAGTTGTGTTAAGAGTAACCAATTCTAATCTTATCTTTTAACTTCAAAAAGGAGGGTAATTACAGGTTTACCTTTTTTTTCAGGGAATAAGAACTGATTCCTTCCCAAACGGTAGTCATCTGGTTGTTGTCGGCTTCTTGAGAAAGCCCAAGACTCCACCAATTCAAGTATGATCGACATGAAACTTGGCATGCTTGTTCCCAGGACAATTGCACATTGATGACGGTATCCTCGATTCCTGGTCCATGTATGATGTAGTCGATCATACTTGTTTTCCAACGTGTAACTCTGAATAGGGGTATATCATGTTAAATAATCGAAAATATCCATGAACTGGATTTAGGGAAACACTAACGCAACACTAGGGTTTGTTGAACAGTTTAGGTCTTAAATTTTTATGTGAAAAAAAGCTAAAAGGGTGTTTGTTATAACTTTGGTTGCAGTCTAAACAGCGAGCTAGTGTTAAGTTGCAAGATAAAATATTACTTTACATTTTAAAAATATGTTTTACATTCTATGTAAATAGCAGAAACTAATCGACGGAGTAAACAAAGGGGTTTTCAACTTTAAAATTTAATTTAATGCTAACTTAAACATAGATTATGGGGCGCATAAGTTAATTCTACCTTAACAAAATCTAACACCCTTCGTGTCCGTGTGTCGCAAACTTTTGTCTTCTGGTCCGCCATTTAGACGTTTGTTCTGTTCACTGCTTATGGTCAATCAGGTTTCCTCAATAAGGCGTAACTGTTTCTGACAGGGTGACCTCGGACCTCCCAACAAGCATCCAGTCCACATACAAGTCAGAACCTGTTTTTGAATATTCCATAAAGTTAAACAAGGAAATATGTCCTGTGAGGGACATTTAATTTATATGTTTGTGACCAAATTTTGAATATAATTATCTCGTTAGCCTGTGTGATAATGAAGACCTTTCTAATCTGTAGGATTTGGATTTGGTTATTACGCATTTATTTGAAGACGTCTGAAAAGCAGACAATATTCAATAACAGAGGACACATCAATGCATTCTACATTGCAGTGTCTGTCCATATTAACGTTATATTTTGGAAAGATTCAAGGTTTACACAAGGTTATCATTTCTGAAAGTAGCATTCTTTTAAGGAGATCAATCTACAAGTATGGGATCTGCGGACAAAATGAAATGCAATG